GTGCCGCGGCGGGCGGGCGGTGCGGGCGGGCCCCGCGGCGGAGGGGCCGCGCGGGCGGGCAGAAAATGGCGGAACACAAGATGTCGGCCGGGCCGGGCCGGGCCCGCGGGGCGGGGAGGCCGCGGCTCCGCGGCGGGGCACGGGGCGATCCCGCCGGGACGAGGCTATTCCCGCCGGGACGGGGCTGTCCCGGCGCCATCCCCGCGCCTCGGCCCGCGCGGCCGCGGGACTCCCGCTCCTTTGTCCCCGCGCTCGCTCCGCCGCCTCCCCCGCCCCGCGACACCGCGGGCGCGCCCGCGCCGGGCACGCGCGGGAGGAGGGAGGGAGGGAAGAAGGGAAGGAGGGAGGGATGCGCCGGGATCCGCTCGTGCCATCGGGGACCGGCAGCCCCGGCCCTCGAACAGCCGCGTCCGTCACTGTGGTTTTATTTACCAGGGGAAGTTTTGTTGCTGCCGCGGATGTACATTTTTTTTTTCCTGTTTTGTTTTATTTATTATTTTTTTGTTACGAGCGTTTAGCGCGTTTTAGGCAGCGAGACAAAATCTCGCTCGCTGGTTTTGTCTGTATCGTTTTAAATGGTTTTAGAGTATAAGTTCTCCTGGGTGCCTTGTAGGTGGACACAATAAAGGATTTTTAAATGGATATGTTGGTTTTTCATAGCCTTTCTGCGAAGGGTCTGTGTTAACCTGCACCGTATTTTATTAATTGGGTTTTCTGCTTAAGGTTTTCTCGCTGCGTTTCTGTTGGTTTCTGCATTAAAAATTAGGGGGAAAATCCCCAAACCATGAAGTGTCATAGGAGGAAGATAATTCACTTTTTCAAATTAAATATTATTTAAGAAATAAGATGACTACAAAACATCTGGTTTGTGTTTTTCAACTGCGTATAAGTTTATTTATTGTTACATTGGTTTATTTATTGTTCCATTGCTCTGTATCTGAGCCCGGTCCTTTTGGTTTAATCAAAATCTTACGCAGCTTGTGAATATCCAAAACACCAACAAAGCACGGTGGTGTGTTTTCCTTTAGAACATGTAAACAAGACCTAAATATTATTTAGCAGAAATAATAATATGATTTAGAGGAAATAATATTATATATTCTAAATAATAATATTATTTAGAAGAAATCTACTCCTTTAAAGGAGAGATTAAGGGCTGACCATGCAGTTAGGCTTTATGTGAAAACGCATCACCTGAACATACTGGGAATAATCACATGTGTAAACTGGGGAGATGCTTAACATTTGCAGGACCACACTGTTTAGGGTATAACAAAATGTATTCATAACTCTACATAAATAAGAGCCTGTATTTAAGTAGCAAGTGGCATTTTGCAGAAATGTTGTTCGTGTTATGTATGTTTTAATTAGGGCAGCAATGCCTGGAAGCCAGTGTAGGAACTGGGAGCTTCCTTGCACCCTTGGGTACACAAATGACACCCCGTGTGTCCTGAAGCAATGGTTTTTATCCCTCCTCCTTAAAATGCTTTGCTGAAGATCTCTCCATTTAGGGTGTTTTCTTAAACTTTCTCAAAAATTAAAATATTAATGGTTATGATATTTTTATAGGAAGGGTAAGCTAAGAATAGATCAGTGTGTTTGCCGGGAACTTCTGCCAGCTTTTCGGTTGAGTGTTGCTGTTGTGTGTTCTTAGGTCATCCCAAACTGCCAGCCATTGTCTTTAATTTTTAAAAATGCCATATGTAGGAGTAATTTACAGTGGTGTTCCTGTCTGTAGACAGAGAGGTCGGATATCCCTTCCCTTTCTTCTGCTTTCAAATTCGTTGCTTGTCTCAGCTGAGCCCTGTCCTAAGCAAGAGCTTTGGCATAAAGAGTGAAATAGGTTGAAATCAGCTCAAGCTCATTAGAAAGAGAACTGTTGTTTTTCAGAAAAGCAAAACCACTTTAGATAGAGACATATTTTAAAAAAATTAACATTGAGACACTGCTTTGGCAGTCTCAGTGTAGGTTTCATGAAATACTTCATTTTGGGATCTGGTGGGAACGTGCTCCTTCCTGGGCCAGGATAACATGCTGTAATTAAAAAAATCAATGCAAATATTAATGGCAGGTTGTAAAATGAATATTTTATTGGCTGACGCTAATCAAGTGTTTTCACTGTCTTAAATACCCAGAGGAGAAGGGGAATTGAGAGCAAAAGCTTGAGATGTTACTAGTTAGAGGCGAGAGAGGAATGGATAAGTTTGGATTATGTATGGAATTGTGGCTTTGTGCCTGATTTCTCTGCTGGAAACCCACAATTGGATCCGTCTGGGATTGTGTGGGTGTGTAACATGGTGTACTACAGGAGGAAGCTGTGAAGAACCACAGTTAATCACTGCTCTGCATTTTTTTGCTCTTTCCAATAACAAGGTTTCCCTGCATATGTGGCTGTGAAACTGCATCTCCTGCACTGCTGCAACCTGGCAGCAAACCCACCCTCCTGGGGGGGAATCTTGGGCCTTATCCATGGGGGATTCTTCCAGCTTTAGCAGGAAGGGCTCTTCCTGCTGTCACTGCATTCCTGCAGGACCTCAAAGTGGATATACCAAATACCTTTGTGGCTGTATGGTTGATGCAACTCCATCCTTTGTCTGCAGAGAGGGTTTAGAAGATCAGACTTCAGTAGGGTTGGTACAGCTTCAGTGTGGTTGTTGCCACTGTGTCATCCTCCTCTCTGGTTTTAGGGGAAGGCTAAGGGATTCGTAGTACTGCATCCACAGAAGGTGCCATCCCATGACTTTGGGAATTTTTCTAGTCCTGCTAACTACTGGGAAAATGATTATGTTAGTGATACTGCTTTCCTTGCAGGCATTTAAAGTTAAATTATAGTCTTACTTTGTATTGAATGTTTTCATGTAGCACAATATGTAATTTGGTTGTGCATCTAACTATTTAACTGAAAATAAGGAAGAAAAAAAAGGAAGAAGAGTCTGGCATATTCTTCCTGTAATCTCAGGTTGATATAATTTAAGATAATTTTTCATATCCATTTACATTAAAAAAGAAGGATTAACTGAGTGTAAAGGCTGTGGTCAGGAAATGCTAGAGCATTGCATTAATTCTGGGATAGTTACATTAAATTAGCCATTTATGTTCTAGAACTGTATCATATTTTGTACTAGCAGATAATCATTTGCTACTGTAGGAATTTCAGATGGCTGTGACCATAATTTGGGAGTGATGGAGCGTTGCACTGAGGTTCTGAAGATGCTTTGTAATCCTTAAAATGGTGAAAGAATTTGATTTTGGAGCAGAATTGAGTTAGTAAAACCCTTGACAACTTTCCTTATTGATAATGTTTCACATTTGTGTTTATGTTATTATCTGATCTGTGGACCTGACTTACTCTGTTATGGCACCATCAAGGAATTCCATTGGGGAATTGTAGTTCTGCAAGAAGGATTGTTACCTCATCATCCCCAAAGTTAGTGCTGGAGCTTTAAAGCCAATTTGAGAGAAGTAGGTTTGGTAAATGATTTAGGGAGGAAGTGTTGAAAGGCTGACAGCACACGGTCAGGGGATGCAAGTTCTTTGCTCTTTTGTGTTCTCAGTCTCATATTCTGGGGTGGATCAGTGGCTTCCCCTTGAAATTACCATCTCTGGGCACCACTTGCTGCTCCCTTTGCTGGAGGAGTTCAGGGGGGTCCCATGATTCTGCCTTAGAGGTATCTCAGGTTTTGGGCACTTCAGCCTTTATTCTTACAGCCTGGCTTATTTTACTGTCCACCTTCCTTGGCCGGTGTTGGCTCTGGGCTCCTGGGGTGGATCTCAGTGCAGTGGGGCTGTCAGATGTGTTCTGCCCCAAAGTCAGTGGAGTTTCCATCATGGTTTAGATTTGAATGCTTAGACTTAATCAATTCTTGTGCTAGGGTAATGGTAATTTTTTTTTTATGACATCCAGAAGAGCAAAGTCAAGGTCGATGCTACAACAGTGAAAGGACTATACTTTTGAGACTCACAAAAGCACTTGCACTCCCCGTTCCTCTCTGCACCACCCAGTTCATGTGGTTCTGAGTTCAGCTCTTACTCTCTGTTCACTTCCAACAGCTCCTAAAACTGTCTTCGGTGGGATACTGTCACTTTTTCCTGACTCTTGGATACAAGAGGGCAGGAAAGTACAAGATTTTAATCTTATGCAACAGAGAATTTTTTTGGCCACAGGTTTTTCACCTGGGAAAGCCTTGAGCTCTGTGTGACCTGGAGCCACTTCATCTGCACTGAGAACTTGGGTAAAAACCCAACTTATTGGGTTGCAGCAAATTGCAAAATAATTCAGATTCCCCACACTTCAGTATTTAGGAGCAATGCAAATAGCATGTTGGAATGCTGATTTATCCTGCTGTCTTGTGGAAACACTCTGTCAAAGAAAGGTAACGTGCTTTCTCCTGCTCTGGAAGTGACTTTGTGTAGTTGTGCCTCAACAAAGAGATTCAGCATCCTCAAGACAGACAGACAGGCAGAGCAAAGGTGACTTCTTTGTGCACAGTAGCTAATATACATTATTATGCTTAAGATAGAAAGCAAAATAATAAAGCAAACTGGATTGTACAAAGTATTGCTTATGTTTTTCTTGCATTTTTGGGTAAATACTTCTCTGTGTGTGTCAGTGTGACACATTAATCCAGTAAAGCCGATAACACAATAACGTTGCTGACCATAAATTCTCCTTTTTGTTTTATTGCAGTTATTTGTGAATGCACTTAGCTGAATATGGATCCAGGTGGCGGAAGTTTGGGATTGCAAACACAAGAATCCAAAATGCCTCACACTATGATTATGCAGGATTTTGGTAAACATTTTAACTATTAAAAATCATGAGTAAAATCCAGGAGATGACCTTCTCAGGAAGGATCATGTCTTTGTTCTAACATGAATTAATACCCCTCAGAGTGTACCAAGATAATTGCATTTGCAGTACAATACTGAATAATGCCAGGGATTTTTTTTCATTCTGATAAGAATCATTTTCTTGAGTGTTTTGTTCATTAAGATTAAAATTGCTATTTATGTGTGTGTTGAAATAATTCACTGTACATTCTTTGTTATGTCTAGAAAAGTAGTCAGCCAGTCAAGTCTGTTAATGAAAACCAGGTTTCTACCTCCGGCCATTCCTTGTGATGTGGCAACTTGTGGGAAACTGTACTATAAATATTGGATAAAACTGAGCATTTATTTTTCTCAAGGCCTATGCAATCTAAAGGATGAAGAGTCCTTTTATTGTAGCAGCAATTAATGGTTTGTCACCACACTTCCAGCCTCATGCAAGAATTCTGTGAATGTTCAAATTGCTGCTGTAATGAAATGTTTTCTAACTGGAATAAAAAAAAAAAGGTCTAAATTATAAACTGGCCTGTAGTTTTTAACAGATCAGTATTAAAAGACCTAAATTTGGGGAAAACTCCACATTATATCTTGAAGTGGTATGTTTTGTTTTTCTTAATTTAAAGGATACGGGCTGCTTTGGATAATGTGGATGTTGAGAAGTAACAGGTTCTTATATCTGTGTGTAACTTGTCTCTGATAATTCCATTCCTCACATAAAGCAGTTCCTAGTGCAATGATTGTAACGTTTTTCTCCTGGCTCGTCCTTGTTCCGCAGTGGCTGGAATGGCTGGCACTGCCCACATCGATGGAGACCACATTGTGGTGTCGGTGCCCGAAGCCGTCCTGGTGTCCGACGTCGTCACGGATGACGGGATCACTCTGGATCACGGCCTGGCAGCCGAGGTTGTCCAGGGGCCCGACATCATCGCGGAAACCGACGTTGTCACGGAGGGGGTCATCGTGCCCGACTCCGTGCTGGAGGCTGACGTGGCCATCGAAGAGGCTTTGGACACCACTGACCACGTGTTGACCTCTGACCTAATCACGGAAACCGTCAGAGTGCCCGACCAGGTGTTCGTGGCCGACCTCGTCACGGGTCCCGAGGGACACTTGGAGCACGTGGTGCAGGACTCGGTGTCCGGAGCCACCTCCCCGACCATGGTGTCGGAGGAGGTCCTGGTGACGAACTCGGACTCGGAAGCGGTCATCCAGGCAGCTGGGACTGTGCCTGGCTCCACGGTGACCATCAAAACAGAGGATGACGACGATGGCAAGAGCACATCTGAAGACTACTTAATGATCTCTTGTAAGTTCACCAGAGGTACATACAAACAGGCAGTAGCTGGAGTAGAAGTGTCTGGTGGGGAGAAGTTTTTGTATCTGGACTCTTGCTTCACTCCATCCTGGAATGCTCACTTTGGCTGGTGCCCTGTTCATTCTTGGGGTATTTTGGTGCAAAATCCCTTATTGGTGGTACAGCAAGAAAGAGAAGGACATTCATGCTGTCGAGTGAGTGTGTGTGTATGTTTGTGTTTCTGAAACTAGATATTCCAGGAAATGAAGGAAAACACCTCAGAAAGCTAAACATTCTGCTTATTTTGAGTATGTGGATTTTAAAAAAAATCCACAGGTATATTACAATGTTATGCAGGTTCCTGTAAAAATAGCATGTTGGGTTTAATCAGGAGAATCCACAAAGAAATAGGGTTTTAAGATCTCTGACTCTCAAAAGTTTTCTTGGTGTGTCCACAAAATACAGTTTGTTTAGTGTATTAAAAATTATAGTCGGCATTTCATTGTCTGTTGTGCTGTTTTGGGCTGAACCTGGCATTAGGGAGTCATGTGCATTAATTGATTGGCTCATTAACACTGGGAAGTGGCTTCCCATTGCAGTTCCCACACAGCATTAACTCCAGGAAGTTGTATGGTCCTCTACTACCTGTTGAGTGCAAGCTGCTGAAAGGACCTTGAGTGTATTATGTTTCCTCGGTGGTTAAATTATACCCAAGGTACCAGTTGTTACTGTTACACAAATTTGATAAAATGTATGATAGTTAATTTTATAATTTTTGACTTCTCCAAATCAGTTGTTGAAATGTGAGTAGGTCAAAACAGATTTTAGTCAGAAGCAATATGTTGAAAAAAGTCAATGCCAAGTGTGTCAAAGTGTCAGTCTGTTCACAACGAGCTGCATTTATTAAAAATTTCATGACACAGGACACAACTGATTCATGATTATGATTTCAATCTTTCATAGCATTTAAGTCCCTTATACAAAATACTTTTTGATACTTATTCAGTATGGGATGAACAGCAATGATTTTTAAAGCACTGTATCATTACTGTAATACCATCACTAGTAGAAGGTGGGTTTTTTTGAAAAAGAAGTAAAAAAATGAACCTCAAAAGCAATTTAGACCTACAACAAAAAAACCCTGTGTGTTTTTGTAACTAAAGGAGCACCATATTCGCAGTCAGTTGTTTCACTGAACAAATTCCTCCTTTCTGACAGAGTACTTGCTGACTTGTTATTCTGTAACTGCGCTATTTCCACTGCACCCTTGTAATTGTAAGTACAGCCCTCTTTGGAATTCCTTCTGAGGCAGAGAAAGTGTCATTGATGCTGGTGATCACTGCACTTCAACCAGAGCATCCTAAACTTCCAGTTACCTGATGGCCTCAGGTGTGTCTCACACATTGCTGGCCGTGTCAGGTGTTCCCAGACCCACCCATGGTGTTTGCAATGTGTCAAAGCCACTTTGAGACCTGGTTTTCAGCAAATTGTTTAATATTTATAATCGTGATGTGCCTGAACAATCACAGTTGGAAGCTACGTTATTCATCTGGGATTTTGTTTCAAGTAATCTTTTAAATAAATTAAGGCAGTCATAGAATTGTTTAGGTTGGGAAAGACCTTTAAGATCAAGTCCAGGCATTACCCCAGCACTGCCAAGGCCACTGCTAATGATGTCCCCAAGTGCCACATCCTGATGGCTTTGAAATCCCTCCAGGGATGGGGACTCCACCTCTGCCCTGGGCAGCTGTGCCAGGGCTGGGCAGCCCTTTCAGGCAAGGAATTTTTTCCAACATCCAACCTAAATCTCCCCTGGCACAGCTTGAGGCCATTTCCCCTTGTCCTGTCCCTTGTTCTCTGGGAGCAGAGCCTGACCCCCCCCAGCTCCCCCCTCCTGTCAGGGAGTTGCAGAGCCAGAAGGTCCCCCCTGAGCCTCCTTTTCTCCAGGCTGAGCCCCTCCAGCTCCAGCCCCTTCCCCAGCTCCATTCCCTTCCCTGGACACGCTCCAGCCCCTCAATGTCTCTCTTGTCCTGAAGGTCCCAGAAGTGCCCCCAGCACTGGAGGTTCCTCAGCAGAGCCAGCACAGGGACAGGCACTGCCCTGGGGCTGTGACACACCATGGCTGGGACAGCCCAGGTGCCCTTGGCCTTCTTGGCTGTCTGGGCTCATGTTCAACCCCTGCTGACCGGCACCCCCAGCTCCTTTCCAGCCACTCTGCCCCAGCCTGTGGCTTTCCATGGGGTTGTTGTGACCCAAGTGCAGGACCTGGTGCTTGGTCTGGTTGACCCTCAGCCCATGGATCCAGCCTGTCCAGATCCCTCTGCAGAGCCTTCCTGCCCTCCAGCACATCAAGAATCCCCCACCTTGGTGTCATCTGCAAACTTGATCCCCTGGGCCACACTGGGTACAGATGAGGTCTGTTGTCCCTGCTGTTCTGAGGCTGTGTTGTGCTGGGTATGGCAGCCTGACCCCACAAAGTATCTACTACTGTATTTTTGTCAGCAAAAATTAATCATTCTTATGCAATTGTACTTTGGGGGGATTTCTTTAAGTTTTTTTAAATTAGCCTTGAATATGTTTTTTATGTGAATATAATCTGTTGTGTAGAATAGATAGACCTCAAAAAAAATCAAGCAGGTCAAAACCCTTTTTATTTACTTATATTTTTAATTTGTCAAATGTTCAGTAAATACTGTAGAAAGTGAACATAATGGTATTTCCTTTGGGACATATAGGGCTGTTGAACTGTTTCATTATGTAAATCACATCAAAGTGATAGCTTTAAAGAATCTCAAAATACTTAGCTGGCTCTTAATGAAATTTAGCACCTGAAAAGGGGAGACTTAAAATGCCAGATAATATCCTTAGGGAATACCATGAGCTGTTCTGTGGAACAGAAATTAGTTTATTTGTATAATTTGGAGAATGTGTATCATTTGGAGAATTCCTTGTTTGGGAACTTCCACAATGCTTCATTTTAGGGTATGGAGCTGAGCTGAGTGTGGAATTTTAACTTCTTGGGAGTTACGGCTTAAATGATTGAACCTTGGGTTGGAAGGGACCTTGCTGAAAGGTGATTTTTCACCATTTTGAGGTGACATTCCCTTGTAGGTACTTTATACACTTTTGATAATGATATTTTTTATTTGGAGAACAGTAAGTTTGTCTTGATAGTTGTGTGACCAGCTGCGTATGACTTTGTGACTGGAAATGTTCACAAGGTTATCACCTCTCTGCTGTGTCTCAGTGCAGATGAATTCAGCTTTTTTTAAACCAGCTTTATAAGCATAAAGTAAAAATCTTCATTTGATACCTTCACAACATCTCTCTGCGTGAATACCACGGGGTATATTCACAATCCCTCGTTTTAAATCATCAGAATAGCTTGATGGAGAGGAAGTGAGTGCAGTAGTGGGCTCTTGAGCCAGCCCATCTGTGGTGAGGCGGGAGGCTGTGACAGCCCCTCTGTGTGCAGGGGGCAGTGGGCAGGCTGTGACAGCCCCTCTGTGTGCAGGGGGCAGTGGGCAGGCTGTGAGAGCCCCCCTGTGTGCAGGGGGCAGTGGGCAGGCTGTGACAGCCCCCTGTGTGCAGGGGGTAATGGGCAGGCTGTGACAGCCCCCTGTGTGCAGGGGGCAGTGGGCAGGCTGTGAGAGCCCCCTGTGTGCAGGGGGCAGTGGGCAGGCTGTGACAGCCCCCTGTGTGCAGGGGGCAGTGGGCAGGCTGTGACAGCCCCCTGTGTGCAGGGGGCAGTGGGCAGGCTGTGAGAGCCCCCTGTGTGCAGGGG